AAAGTTTTGGTAGCACCTCAAGCTTATTTTAATTTAAAAATAATATAATAATATGAAAAAGAGTTCGGGGCGTTACAGCGACTCAGACCTCTCACCCAAGTCGTTAGCTTACGTACTGCCCGCTTTGGGTCAGCCTTGCCCCCACTTATCCCTCACAGCTTTCTTCGCGTCCCCCAGGATTCGAACTCTTGATCACTATATAAGAGAAACTTAAGTTAAATCCTGGTACCAATTGGGCAAGTTGTCCTGGTACCAATTGGGCAAGTTGTCAAATTAGTACCAAGATTCAACTTAAGTCTCTCTTACGTAGAGGTCAAGAGTTCGAATCCTGGGAAATGCGACAAAAAGTCGTGAGGGGTAAGTGGGCGCAAGGCTCACCCAAAGCGGACAGTACTTAAGCTAAAGGCTTGGGCAAGAGGTTCGGGTCGTTACAAAAAAATGCGCATTTTTTTGTAATGGCCCGGACCTCTCGCCCAAGCCGTTAGCTTACGTGGGTAAGTGGGCGCAAGACTCACCCAAAGCGGAAAAGTGGCCATTTTAAACAATTTCATTATTAATTCTATATTCTACCCTTAATTTAGTTTAATTAGTTAATCTGACTGCTGAATATTAATAATTAATAATTATGTTTTGTTTTTGGTTAGATGCCCAGTTGATTGTGAATCTAAACCTGAATATCATAGTTTAGTTGGAGGTAAATAGAAAAAATAATATTTCTAAGTATTAATAAAATTATATAATGGTGAAAATAAAAATAAAAGAAAATATATAGTAGCTAGCTATATAATTATATGTCTATTTCAAAATCTATTTCTTGTTTCTCACCCTGTAAAAGTGGAAAAGTTCCTTTTTTTTCATATATTATGAATATGAAAAAATAATTATATGTATTATTCGAGTTCACCCTTAATATTTTTTACTCGAAATTGTGACACATATGTATGTAAATTATTTGTTATGATAGGAAGATGATTAAATTCATTTATACTTGAGACGATCAAATATTTAAATTCTACACATTAATGTTGATGATAACATAGAATAAGCTCCACAAACTAAGTATTGATAGATATGAGAACAACATATAGAACAATCAACATAAGTGAATCAAACTGAAATATCAATGTCGAGTAGTTGGATAAGACTCACCACATGGTATATACCAAGATTGATGTCTTTTTATTTTCTTTGATAAACTACATCATGTGAAAATGATGTCGATCACATTTATTGAAAGGTCTTTATTTTTCCATAATTATTATTCATTGTTGAATTATTTAATTACTTTTTGATAGACTAGTAATGGAAATGTTCATTAGTGGGTCATATCTAAAAATCAACTAAAAAGTAGTGTGAACTAAAATATTTGAAGAGCTTTTTTTTTCATCCACATATGTGGGATTTAATTGGAGTGGCCAAAGGAAAGCGGCCCACTTGTGATACACCAAGTCGACGCGTAGAAAATTTGAAAATTTTAACTTGACGCGTAGAAAAATTAAATGAGATATTTTCAATTAGATAGATAGGTTTTGATATAGATATACCAAGGACAATTCTCTTTGAGGGCCCTGTATCACAGGGGGCCGAGCTGGCTATATGTATTGTATCGAATTTTTTTACCTAATTTCTTACCGACTACTCGCAATACAGGATATGGACCATATTTTGGGATTTTTTTATTCACGCTAGTTCTACGTATAATCTTGTAACTTTAATTTTGTAACATTAATTCTCCCGTATAATCTTACTATTTTTTTCAGTTATTTTACATTATTGTTCGAGAAGTTAGGATCATTGCGTCATTAATGATTAATCCTTCACCCCTCTAAGACATTGACATGAAATTTCCTTCAAAATATCACAAAATATCAAACAAGAGCAGAGCACACCAAAATTGCCTACTTTATAAATCCAACGTAGAACTTATCTTTATAAATATACGCATAATTTCGCAGTCTTCATTCATTAATCCTATCTCCCTTTTCTATGGCTTTTGCACTTCGCTCCTCAATTTCGTTTATCAATGTAAAAGATAATCGAGGTTTAAAAACTCACGACGAGTTTTCAACTATAGTAAGTTTTGCTCAAACTAAGCCATTGTCGTGCAAGCTCCATGCAAAGAGTGCAATGCACGAAGCGACTCAATTTTCATTGTTACAAGGAAGAAAAAGTGAGAAAAGTGAGAGACTTCTGTTGGATATTGGTTAAATAAATTGAGAATTGAAAATCGATTAAAGTTCGTATCGAATTCGGCCAAATACTCAAAAGCTCGACTCAATCCGTTTAGACAAAATTGTTTGCCACTTCGCCGCTTCGGGGCGCACAAACCAATATCGGATGAATGAGAAATTACGAAAAAGGCCTCAACCATTAGTGAATAGACACCTTTTCATAAAGGTGCATTGTTTGGAAAGGGTGCATGGTTTGGCCTCAACCATTTCGTCCACACCCCTTCATGGTCTATAAATAGGACCCTTTGGGTGTCCTATTCCTCACAGTTTGATATGCAAAAACGTCTCTCATCCTCTCTTCTATCCAAAATCAAAATCATTTCATTTATTTTGATTTTCTTTCATTTCATCTGTGGAGTACATAAGCCTATATTTGGTTCGTTGTACTTATGTTTTGGAGTGCTACAAACACAAGTGTAGCCGTTGTATCTTGGGAGTCGATTGCCGAAATCCGTAGGCACCGTTGCTGGGCAAATTCGACTTAAGGACAAAGAGTCCAACTCTTGCCTCGGCTTTGTCACCATCATTATACTTATTTCGGCGTCACTATTCACAAAATTCATCCAACAACTTCATGAGCTAGTAGCCCCTCATAGCCATAAAGGTTCGAGTGTACCTGTTTTTGTAATGCTACCACTCGATACCATATCGATCGGAGGGAGTTTCAACAAAGTGAGGACGATGTATGCTAGTTTATTTGCATTGAAAAATGCAGGAGTCGAGGGAGTCATGGTCGACGTGTGGGGGGATTGGTGGAGAAAGAAGGACCTTTGAATTATAACTGGGAAGGATATGCTGAGCTTGTAAAGATGGTGCAAAAGCTTGGTTTGAAACTTCAAGTTGTTATGTCTTTTCATCAATGCGGTGGCAACGTTGGAGACTCTTGCAGGTATGTACTAGGATGTCAATTGCCATTTTTGTCACTTAAAAATTACGCATAATCCCCTCTTCTACTTTTATATATATATACATATATATATATATATATAGCCCTCGTCTGGTTCAAATAAATTTCAGATTTTTAGTAGATTTTGGTAAAGTAGATGGAATGCATGATTAAAATTTTGATTTAGATCTTAATCAACATTTTAATAAACTTTTTAAGCAGAAACCATAAGATTATTTAGAAATATTAAGTGTGACGTCCATTTTTGTGACTATATATATAGTTTATGTTGTATTTTTGCAGCATCCCTCTACCTCCATGGGTGCTTGAAGAAATGAGCAATAATCCTGATATTGTGTACACCAACAAATCAGGGCGACGCAACCCTGAATATATATCGTTGGGCTGCGATTCATTGCCTGTGCTAAGAGGTCGAACTCCGATTCAGGTCTACTCCGATTAAATGAGGAGTTTTAGAGAGAGATTCCACCAATACTTGGGAAAAGTTATAGTGGTAAGCCATTTTTAACATTCTTGGATGGTTATGCTCATTATCGTGGTAGTTTTAAGTTAGTTTCTATTATTTCAGGAAATTCAAGTGGGGTTGGGGCCTTGTGGAGAGCTAAGATATCCATCCTATCCAGAAAGCAATGGCACTTGGAGATTTCCAGGAATTGGTGAATTCCAATGCTATGACAAGGTACATACTTATCAAAAATGAGTAGCTAAAATCTTGTTCATCATTGACCAAACATGCATTAAGTTGAACATTTGTTATGTAAAAACAGTACATGAGAGCCTCATTGGCAGCTGCGGCTGAGGTGACTGGGAAGACTGACTGGGGGCTCAGAGGCCCTCACGACGCAGGCGAATACAACCAATTACCGGAAGAAACAGGGTTTTTCCAGAAGGAAGGTACATGGAACTCTGAATATGGGCATTTTTTCTTAGAATGGTATTCTGGTAAGCTAGTCGAGCACGGAGATAAAATCCTGTCAGCTGCACAACTAATATTCGAAGGAACCGGAGCTATACTATCAGGAAAAGTAGCTGGAATTCATTGGCACTACAACACAGGATCACATGCAGCTGAATTAACTGCTGGATACTACAATACTAGGAATCGAGATGGTTATTCGGCAATAGCACGAATGTTAAGTAAACGTGGAGTGGTGCTCAATTTTACGTGTATGGAAATGAGAGACGAAGAACAGCCAGAGAGGGCAAATTGCTCGCCTGAAGGTCTAGTTCGACAAGTGAAGATGGCTACCAAATCTGCTGGAACACAACTTGCTGGAGAAAATGCTCTGGAGAGGTATGATTATGGTGCATATTCACAAGTATTGGGAACAAGCCGGTCAGATTTTGGAAATGGACTCGTTGCCCTTACGTATCTAAGACTGAATAAGCGATTGTTCGAAGCTGAGAATTGGAGCACGTTCGATGAATTTGTGAAGAACATGTCAGAAGGTGGTCAAAACACATCACTTTCAGAGAGTGACACGAGCCGAAGGAACCTGTTTGTTGGATTCGTTAAAGACCATAATGTGCACGAGAAAGGCAGAATCAAGGTTGCCAGTTTGTAAAATTATTGATGTAATAGCAATGATTCTTTCCTTGTACAAAATATTCTATTCATTTGCTTCATATTTGTTGAAGTATATATGAAATTCTGTTTCTATGTACTTGCATATAACTACTGGCTACTGATTTTGGATTATGTACAGCATGGTTATTTTGCAAATGAATATAGTAACTTCCATATTTCTATGACAACTACAAATGGACAAACCTGTAAGTTTAATTCATGGAATTATGGAAATACTTAAAAACACTAGAGAATTAACAGCCCATCAGCTAATAATTTTTAAAGAGTGAAGAAATGCAGAGTATAAGAATTATGTGTAATAAATAAATAACAATGCCAATGCATATTGCATATTGCATATACAACATATCTGCTTCATCCAATGAGAAAAAATACGAGGATATAGTAGAATAAGAACCGAAACAAATTTCCAGTTCAATCATTTTAGATTAATACAGATTGAGTAGCTGCCACATTCCAAAATCCATTGGATACAGATTGAGTAGCTGCCGCATTCCAAAATCCGTCCAATGGATTCAGAAAATATATAGTTGATCTAAACACACCAGGTTTTGGAAAAGCCAGATGCCTCCTGTAGCCTAACAAGTAGCAGAATCCATCCAATCAGAAAATCATGTCATCGCTTGTAGCTCTTCAATTAGGGATCCAAAGTAGTTTTCGACTGGGAGCTGGAGGAGCTAATCCTGGTACATCTCGAATGTCTTTGTTATTTGGGTTCACGAGCTAAAAATTCAACCCAAACAATACTTCAGACGACATATAGGGATCAACAAACCAGATGATAATACGCATCATATCATTTGAAAGCAACACGACTCCAAGGTCGGAACTTCAACTAGAGCAATAAAACAAGTCTGATTTGGTATTTTTGACAAGTAGAGGGTGAGAAGTGAGCATGCACATATAGAGTTCGAGCCGTAAAAGTAATAGAATATCTACTAGAGAATGGAGAAAATTGCGCAACTACCACATACAGGGGCGGAAGCAGAAAATTTTAGTTAGAGGGGCACAATCAAACTTTGTACAAGTCGAATACATTATTTTTTATTTTTTAATGATTTATACTTGATCCAAGAAAATGCAAATTTACATTTAAAAAGCATTTCTTCATTAATATTTTGCTCATCATTTTCATCCATTTGATTTCGAGCAGTCATTTTATTAATATTTTGCTCATCACAAGAAAATGCATATTTGTGTTTCAAGAATTTATAGTGTATTTAATACAAATAATCAATTTAAGAGATCGAAAGAAAAAATATATAACCAATATTCAATCAAATAAATACAATTCGTTAAATATAAGTTAAATTGGATATAATCAGTTTAGACACATTCTAAGTACACAAATAGGATAGGAGAAAATGCAAATTTAGGTTCTAATTAACTGAAAATTTGATTGGAAAGTGAAAATTTATAGTATATGTGATAATTTGTAGAAAAATTATAGACAATCTTTAAAAAATTAGAAGAATTAAGATTTTGATAAAAAGTGTGAGAGAGAGAGCGTAAAATAGAGTAAGAAAAAGAGAAACAATTTCAAATTTATTGTGATTTTGCCTCTGTTTGGTGGAGGTTTAAAATCAGATTTTTTGTATATTTTGATAAAAGTAAAAAAAAAAGGTAAGGATTCCATCAAATATTTTATTAAAAGAAATTGTTAACTTTGATTTAGATTAAAATTTATTTAAATTTTAATCGATACCAAACATGACTTATCCACCAAAAAAAATCATCAAAAGTTGGGGGGTCACATGACCCCCCCCCCCCCCCCCCTTGTGTCCACCCATGACCACATGAATAATGTAATATCCCTAGTGTTAAATTTTCTAGCAGAATAACAAAATATAATGATCTATGTATCTAGCAGCCCCAGGAATATGTTCAAAGAATAGAACTTGTACCACATTACAAGAAAGTCAAACATGCATAAAGACAGTGAAAATTAAATTTCTACAAACCTTTACAATGATAATTGCTATGACACCAACCACAATAAGGAAAAGCAGGGCCATAATGCACCGATCAGTTGCAACCTGATTAAGAAATCAAAGTAAGTAACTAAATAAGAAAAACCATCAGACATATAACAGGAAAGGGATGTGATATCTTGGAGATTGACCTGCCTACCAATTTCCTTGACCAGCTGTGAAGCCTTCTTAATTGAAAAATGGATGGAGTCCAGCTCATTAACAATCCTGCTCATTTGTTCAGTCTAAGCACATAAAATAGAAGGGAGTAAGAGAGAGAGAGAGAGAGAGAGAGAAGGATGAGTGAGGATAAGAGTTTGACAAAGATCCCTCATTTTGATGGTGTCCACGGGGAGACTTAATGTCACAAGTCCACATCTTAATCATTGAACATAGTCTGGGTTTTTGGTTCCAAATTACAGACCTGAGATTTGAGTGCTGCAGCAGTCTCGGTTCCAACATCAATAGTCTCGTGGACAACCTGTCACAAAGTGAGCATTAAAAATCATGCTTTTAAATGTGGAGAAGTACTTTCAGAACTAAAGGCTATTATATCCCATTTCCAGTTGACCATCTGGTGTAGTGGATGAAAAATGTAGATTGTACATCTTGGGAATGCAAAAGAATGGCTTGTTTTGACTTGCTTCTGGGTACTTAAAAATGCATATATCACGAACAAGAGGAGGCCTTCTTAATTAAAAATGGATGGAGTCCAGCACAAAAATCATTTTGCACATTTTTAGGCCTGAATGAATATAAATAAGAAAGATGGAGGCAGGGAGGGAGGGAAACCAATAATACAATTAATTTTCTAACAAAACATTATTAATTGGAACTTTAAGACTAAAATTTCCACTTTTCGCATTACTAACCTCCTAACAAACTAGGGTTTCCTGCATGAATGACAGAAACTTGACAATATGTCTCAGTCATTTTGAACTTCACAGAATGTTAGTGAGGTGATAATCATTATGAACTGGCAAACTTTTACAAACAATTAATCTCAGTGAATCCTATGCCCCTTCCAGAATCAAAAAGTAATTGTTTGAGTTATGAATAAGGTTAGGAAATTGTTAGTAACATAAACGTATGTTTTCTCGGCCAATTTGATGAGAGTGCAATTCATGGTCATTGGCTAGTTATCCAGCTCAGCCCATTAGAACTGGTACAACAAAGTTAGCAGCCATTCTACAGCTAGCAAGATTGCAAGGGTTTTAACAGGCAAAGAATGTAGACTTATTGTGGCCGGAAGCTAATTCAACTTTTATTCTCACAAACTAGTGAACAAGTATAATCATTGAAGTTGCAAATTTCCAATAATCCTCCTCAAGCTAGTTTGAAAATGTTCTTCGTTCCCAACTTGCTTAGAAAAAAATGAGCTCTACAACCACGAACACTTTTTCCAATTGAGTTCGGCAGACTAAGTTGGCGCACTTTGTTTCCTTCACTGGGCACAAGTCACAGACCAGTTTGACTGGATGACAGCAACCCTAGTAGGAAATAGGGTTTGACTTGGCAACTGATTTTATGTCACAATGAGTTCTCTCTCTTGTTTCAAAAAGATAGTAAATTTGTAGTCTCGACACTTACTATTTTTATTTTTATTTTCCCTTTTTGTAAACAAATTAGTAAATGAAAATTAACATTATGCAATATCAGAACAGCCAAATACCCCTTAATTACGATTAAACCATCTTTTCGTATGAATATCTAGTGCATTTACACAGAACTCACTATGAAGAAATGTGCTGTGGGCCTGTGGCCCCTGTTGTTATTACATCCAATGCACTGTCTTCAAACACGTCACACCCAGATTCCAGTGCGTGAATCTGGTATTTGTCATAAATTTTCACCCATAAAAAATGTCAGTTTCTGTGTTTGACTACTGATTTTCTTGTATTTGAAGAAACAACAAATGCGAGCAGACAAGAGCCTAGAAATGAAGAAACAACAAAATCGAGCAGACAAAAGCCTAGAAACGAAGAAACAACAATGCCAGGAAGCACGCTCAGGTCCCTCAACCTTAGCAAATGCCTTCGCTCAGTATATCTCTAGGACAGGAGGGAGACGGAATTTGATATATCTTGTTGGCAATAAATCGATTAGCAGATAAGCAATCAATTGACAATTCTCCCTGGTAATTTTAGAATTTTGCTGTTCACTGAAATCTACTAACCTTTTTTGACCTCTCAATTGCTTGATCAGTCTCATCCATCATCTGATTTCCCTGATCCATTAGCTGCTGATTTGTCATATCTGCAACATTGTGTTCATCAACAGAAGGCTTCATCAAACAAATTAAACAAGCAAAACAAAATTCGTGGCGAAAATGTGAATTTTGTGCACAGCAGACTGAAATATACTAGGATTTAAAATCATCAAAGCAACTGGTGTAAACCAAAAGCAGAATTTGTTCTTGCAGCATATGTAACAAAATTAAGATATATTCATGGGGTGAAAACTTGTGTATGGATTTCAAGCAAATTGCAAAACAAATTGAAAGAAGTATATTATGAAGACAACAAATGTAGCAATCAAGAACACAAGCGAAAAAGAAATTTGGTGAAGTTACAAATAAACAAGAAGACAATTTCATCACTTCGATTGTTAGAACCTCCCCCTATATACCCTCTAACTCCACTGCAATGTCAAAAATTAAATTATTTCCCTCATTTTTATAAATATAAAATTATTAATGCTACAGAGCATTTCACAAAAAGTCCAGTGGCTATAGGTTACCCTTCTTCTCAACAATTTCCATTTTATATACAGAATTTTGTTTCAGAATCGTTTCAATAAGCTAGAGTATAAATTAATGTGTCTGGGGATATCTTTTCTTTAGCTCATCTTTTACCCAAATATTGAAGTAGACTAAGAAAATGTCCAATTTTACCCCAATATTGAAGTAGCAATGGAGGCTAGGAAAATTAAATTTTATCAACTGCATTTCCAATATCATAACATGAAGAAAAGAAGGTGAAAACAAATTACTCTTTCTACTGTTTATGCCTTCCTCTGATTCTAAAATCCAGAATAACAAATGCACTAAGGCTTGCCCCCAAAATATTGGCATAAGCTCTTTCCCACACCCACATTAACAAACAATGTTACTCTGATAAATTGATCTTTGCTGCTCCTTCCTTGGAGCCATCCATCAGCAACATTACAATTAGAAATGGCAAATGCCAGTAATTTTTCTGTTTGCCTTTTCTTTTCTTTTTTTGAATGAATATAGTTATAATCTAATATGTTACAAACATTTTAAGCCAAAAAAAATTTTTTTGAAAGGTAACATTTTAAGCCACGACGTAATGTCAATTCTTCTTTTTCTATTGTAATTTTGTGTCTGTGGATGTGCAGGGATGGGAATTGTGGAGGGAGCAGCTTACTGGAAGCGAGCAAGACATTTTCTTCTGCAAATCCTTCACCAGGGCCCTCAAAGAGATCTACTCGCTTGTTTTCAAGATTGCTTGTGTACCTTGAGCATCATCACGAAAAATATGATTACAAACACATAAGGAACTGCCTAGCATGCGAACAAAATTATCTATCAGATCAGCACACGAGGAAGAAACTAACAACGTAGAATGTTATCAAGCACTGAATGAAGAAGCTTGAATTCCAGCTTATGATTTTAAGGAAATTAATTTTTGAGGAGAGTTTTCAAATGAACTAGTGAAAGAAGGCCTACTTAAGTGTGGAAAAGAAAATTTATAATTTCACAACTGCAAAAACAAATTACTCCATTGACTTTTTGCTTCTGAGTCATAAGAACTTGTTTACAAGTATTAACTTCACTAAGAAGTCATAAAGGTTGCTCCATCATGAGCTAGATCACATTGTTCCCCTGATGCAAATGTTCCAAGTGCTGTAACTCTTAAGGAAATATGTTCCACAAGGAGAGTGCAAAATCTATTTATGAACTAAAATCAAACCGAGTGCAAAAATTTCAAAAATTAAATCTACTCCGCTCAGTTATGATCAATTTCGGCTTCACAAAATCAAGCACATCCAAAATGAAACCAGATTGAATCAAATATCGCACCAAAAAAATAAAACAAAATGAAATTAAAAAAAAAATTAATTAAAAAAAAAAATTAAGATCATAAACTTTACCAAAGTAATACCACAGCACAGAAGAGACAGTATCATTTTGTAGCCCCAGCCCTCCTCCCCATGACCTCCATACGTGAAATTTGGCTTTTCATAAGCTTCATCTTTTATATGGTCATCACCGAACGTGCTTTTTTTCTCTTCAATGATTTTTTTATTGATTTTTTCAATGAATGGCCTATCCCCATCCCTACCTTCAAAATCATGATTCAATATCTTCTTTATATGCTTTTACTCATAAAAGAGCCTTTTCAATCACTTGGACAACCGATTCAGTGTTTTTTTCATTAGAATCAAGCTTATCAAAATTATATAAACTGCTACTATGCTGAGATTCAGTGTGTAAAAAACCATATGCACCCTACTTGTCTCGCAGATAGGGGGAGAAAAGCATGATACGGGCGTACTACAGTGAGAAAATTTTGAATGGGAACAATAAGAGAAACTGTAGAAGCCTAATAAACATTAGTCCAATTCAGCTCAGTTTATGTCACCAATTCACGTCAGAAAAACAGAAATAAAAAAGATGGGCACAGGAAAGAACAATCTGTTTGGAACTAAATTGATCAAATGCATAACCATACATGTCAGTGCCTTGAACATCATAATCTTGTCAGTGGACAGTATTTCAGATACAACTAATATCATTAACATAAAATTTCATCACTAATATATCATCAAATTATACGTAACCTAAAAGTTTCCATATGATAAGAAGTCTTTAAGTAGTTAAGATGGAGACACACAAAATACAAGGACGTCGAGTTATTGGGGTGAGAGAAGACAAGAATTCAAGAGGCACGGCAAAGCAACAACAATATGTTGCATTAATAGGAATATGTATTTCGTGATTGATATGCAACTTTCAGAAGCACAATTTCTTTTACAGACGAAGGCTGCAAGCAGCACAATAATATAAAATGACCAAATTAAGCCAGAGTGAAATGAAAACAGAAAAAACAGTACAGATAGTTAACACAGTAATTAAACAACAAGATGCTCTATGAATTGGAAGGCAGCAACTCAGCGAGGAACTTACTGTTTTTTGAGAGCCACATACGAATTCAACTCTTTAATCTGCACAAGAAGGGCAGACAAGTCATTAGAGAAAAACAAAGAAATTACTTCTAGCAAATAAAACATTCAAAAGTTAGATAATGAAGCTGACCATTGTTTGCTTTTTCTCACTCAGCATCTTGTTCGTGTCTGAATCATTTTTATACTCTGAATCCTTTGATTCTCTGTCAAATTCTTTAATAAGCCTGGAGAGAGAGAAAGATTAGCATGCAGCTCTTCTTTAAATACATGTGTGTGTCTCTGTTTTGCATGAAAAAAATAGAGGAGAAGCATCTTCATGCAAAACTCCTCTTTGAGGGATACTGGGTAGTAGATGTAGGTCTGATTTGACTAAATCACTCTTTGATGTCCTTTATTTACTGCCTAATTCTATGCTTTATTTGAGTCCTGTGCATCGCAGAAAAAATGGGCTTTAAACTTCTCTATTATGTGCAAAGTTTTTTTCATCATTGCCTTTGGATTAGATTTGGTTGTGTAAATAGTCTGGCTGTAGTTGTTTAAATAATTTGGCCAGTACACTTTGAAGTCCACTTTTCAACAGATCATTAGTAAAATTATGAGTATTGCAATTATTCAGAATTTACCTGTTGCCCAATTACTTATTAGTTGGTGTTCACATCAAATACATTCAAAAATTGATATTACCCCCTTAAGCATGTCCAACACAATATGGAACTATTTTCTAAAGTGGATTTAGTGAGTACAATCTGTTAAGGTCATTTCATTAAGTTCTTTGACATTCTTGTGAATCAATTTTGAAAATTGTCATCTAACTGATTTTCTCAGGTCGAGAAACTTATTAAGAATCTACTGGTATTATGACTCGAATTTCTTTATTTCGCTTACCTTCTTCCATTAAAATTCACCTAATCAGTGGGGAGTAGACCTGGAACTCAACGAGTTGATTAAAAATTGGAATATGATGGTAAAAATTAAGGGACACAAAATGCCTAACTTCCAAGTTCCAATGAGGAGAAAGCATTTAAAACTTAAAAACACCAACCGAAACTCAATTCCTTGAACATAGTTCCACTATCAATTCATCAGTACTTCCCAAATTTCCACTTAACTGCATTATTATACCTCTGGTTCATCAACCCTAGGTTTTAAACCAGGATAGTACCTGAGAACTGATAAACCTAATTCATCCCGCCTCCCCCCGGCTGCTAGTTCATTTCTGATCATGGAAGGTGGTCAAAGTTTAGTAAAGCTCAAACATTAATGCTATAAAATTCAAATAACATAATAAGCATTGCCTTGAATAGCTGTTTATAATACAATCTTCAAGTCATGGCTATAAACATTATTTAAAACTACATTGAGCTGGTGTTATCTACTTGTGATTGATGTTCAGATCTTAATGCAGACAGTGGGTCAACTGAAGGTCAGAAATGAAAGTAAGATGCCTGAGAGTAAGTTGTTCATTTCATTATATGATCAAGATTGGGGTTTCCATGGAGTCGTAAACCTTCTAATATCACTTGAGTTTGATCCCTATAACTTGCTTGAACTTCATCCCATTTCCATACTAGAGAATATTCCATGGAAAAAAAATTGCCCAATTGGTGTTCTTATTAAAATCACACGTCCCTTAGCTATCCATTTCAATGGCTGAGGTCACTAAGCATTAATTTTCTCACAATAATTGCCTTGTTTATCTGGTATCTAATAATATAATCCAAAATCTCGCTTTGTATATTTATCAACATTTCCATTTAAAACGTCTACTGTAAAAGGTAAAAATTAACAATTACTTCACTGATTGCTACCAATCCTTGCTGATGTCGTATTGCATGCCTTGTTCCTATGGATACGCATAGATGCTGAATCAAATACCTCTTACAATCACGCATCTTGGCTGTGAGCTCTTCCAGCTGCCTGCTCTGCCTATTGGAGTCCTTGATCTTCTCCAATTTTTGAAATCCATTTCTGCATTTTCAATTAGTCAATTGATCAATACATATACTAATACCTACACATTATATTTATAAATGTACATATGCACATGCACACAAATTGAGATACATCAAATAAACGCGAACAACACAGGCGCATTGGAACATAAAGGGACAGAATGTAAAAATACTCACGAAAGTGCTCGAAAGATATCAGAAATCTGTCCCTCGATCTCCGCTAGCTCTTCGTTCACCCCAAGTAACGAATCCATGCTCAAAATTCAAATATTTATTTTCTATAAATAAAATTTCCCAAATTAATGACAACAACAATGAAAATGACAATGTTCCAAAAAAAACTCCCAACAATAAAAAATCCAATTCACATTCGGGCAATACAAAATGCCAGATTTGAATAGAATTTGAATAGAAATGTGAATATTCGAATCGGATTTAAGCAATGTTGTCGATGGATCTAATCGAAAAGAGAGAGCTTTTGTTAGACAGGGAGAGGGACCTATGAGCTGGTTCTCTGTCTGGTTTTCGGACAACGACAAGACCTATGACTATGTTTTTTTAACATTTTGCATTTCTTTTTCATTTTTATCTTGACTCTCCATTTAACCGTGAGGATTTATGTTTACTTGATATTAGTGAGTGTTTAATTACATTTATTTTTTATGAAAAATATCAATTTTTCACCTAAATTTTTAGTTGGAGCGTTTGATTGTTATTTTTTTCATGAAAAATATTTTTCAACTTTTGAAAATTTGCCTAATTTTTCTTGTTTTTAAGGAAAATATTTTTCTTGGGTAGAGGTGGTTTTTATTTTCCATAAAAGATAAAAAATATTTTTTTTTAGGTGATATTTTTCATGTCAATCAAACACACTCTTAGAGTTTGTTTAATTAACATAAAAAATATCATCTAAAAAAGAAAATATTTTTTTTTGTGAAAAATAAAGACCACCTCTACCCAAGGAAAATATTTTCCTTAAAAATAAAGAAAATTAGGCATATTTTCAAAAGTTGAAAAATATTTTCCGTGGAAAAAATTAGCAATCAAACACAAGTGGTAATTTTGGTGAAAAACTGATGTTTTCCATGGAAAATAAATGTAATCAAACACACCATTAGACATCGTTTGATTTTTCTTATTTTTCAATCACATATTTTCTATCAAGTTATTATTTTAAAATGTATTTTTATATAAAAATGGGGCTCAAACACCTCTTAATATTTAATTTTTAGAAATTAAGATTTATATATAGGTCATGTTGAGCCCTATTTTTTTAAGAATGTAATTTTGCAATTTTCATTTTCAATCATATATTTTTTATAAAATAATAATACGTGTATTTCAAAAAAAAAATCTTATTTTTTAATCACACATTGTCAAAAAAATCATTATTTCATAATACATTTTCTCCCAAAAATGGGGATCAAACAGGAGCATAGTTATTGTAATTGTTATTAAAACCTCATTTGGTAGCAATTTTTTACCCCAAAAATTAATTTTTGATCGTTATTTTACTATTTCAGTCGTCATTTTTTACTTCTTCATTCACAGATGAGACCCACTTTTTTCTCTAACGATTAAAAAATCAATTTTCATAATTAATATCAAACATGCCCATAAAAAGACATTATCACATGCATTATGCATATCATTATTTCATTAAGAACATAATAATATTATCGTGTTTAGAGAATAGGTCTCAATTGTGTTAATCACTAAATTATTTAATTTCTTAATTAAAAGTAAACTCAAGATGACATACACTAAACGACATTTAATGCATTTTTTGGGCCGGTTAAAGCGGTATATGATAAAATTGATGTTGTGGCAAGTGAAATCCACGCACGCGGTTTCTTTAAGTGAGGAAGCTTGAACACTCAACGCGTTGTTATTGATCAATCTTTACATCGTTTATTTAGAAAATTAACCATAGTGGGTACTTTCACCTTCATTTTGGCTCCCAACCTAACTCAGAAGGTTCCATTAATCAATTTTAGTCCTTTCTGACATTCTTAAAATTTTAAAAACATGATTTTGAATAATATTTTTTAAAATGTGAGGTTCAAAAGTAGAAAAAAATTTAAATTTACGTGTAAAATATTTTATTGAGTGAATGTATGATTGAAAATGAGTATAAAAAATTAATTAAATTAATATAAATGATGTCAGACAACTGCTTGATATTACTTGTCTCTAATGACAATTTTCGTTCAAATAAATCGCGCGTGCGTTTGCCTACTATTTTAAAGGACGAAAAGGGAAATTCCATTTTGTATGAACAACTATTTTGTAGATAAGACTCATTTAGAATTGAGTAACCATACCATAATTTTTATTAACTACGCCGCATTTTAATTACAATAAATATTCTTAAACTTTTCTTATTTTTACATTTACATTTTCAACACTTGAAAAAAAAAATTCATGAATCCTCTATTATTTTTTTACATCTTGTCCATAGAGACGATTTTCATCCAAAATGTTTGTGATGAGAGTGATGAGAGCCAAAAAGAATATTTATCTCTCTTATTTTTAAATAGTCGAAATAAGTAAATAATACAAAAGTTAAAATATTTTCGCATCTTTTCAATGCACATGAGTTGAATTAGGGCTGGAGAAAAATCTCAAATCGAACCGAACTGAATCAAGCGATTTTTTTTAAATTAAATACTCGAAGGAGTATCTGAATAGAAAATCGATGGGTTCGATTCAATTCTCGTTTCTAGATCAAGAACCGAATCTCCATAATTTTTTTAATTAAATTATTTTAAATAAACCAAATTATTTTATTTTTTATAAATAAATTTGCTAACCAGTTAATTTAATTCAAACTCAAAAATATGGTTTTCTTATTTTTAATTTTCAGTTCAAAGCCAACTTAATCAAATTGGCCCAAATTTTATCCAGATCTGTTGCTTTATCGTAGTGACGTCTCTATCGTTCTGAAGAAATCTAATTGAAGCCCAGCTCACTATCTTCCTCTTCCTGTGATTTTAATTAACCAATCTATGGAGAAACTCAGCAAAAAGAGACGCAAAAGACACACAAAAGTGAATTTCGTTATTTTGTAAGAGTTGTTGTAACTTTGTAAATATTAAAAAATTTAATTATAATACAAAATATAGGAAACGAATGGAACTGAACCAATCCAAAGTGAATCGAACCCAAATGGTTCGATGATTAAATTTGGATCAGACGATTCCACTTACTAAATACCAAAAAATTTCAGGTTCAATTCAATTCTCGTTAGAAACAGACCGAACCGAACTATGTTCAACCCTAAGTAGAATATATTTGGATGAAAATCGTGATTAGAGACAAAATGTGTTAATTAATTAAAAGTTAAAAATAACAATGCAACAAGAAAAATATTGAGGACATAAAAGCAAAATGAAGCAAATATTGAAAATCTTTATTGTAATTAAAATGTATTGTAAATATTAAAAAAAAAATTGTTGTATAAATATAATTATCCTTTAGAATTAGAATAATGCTGAGTGTACAGTACCTACTATACACTCACACAAGTGGATCCCATAATTATTTTAATCAAGGGGCCCACTCGTGTGATGTGAGAAGGCTGTCAAAGACGGTGTAAAAAGTGTTGTTTTTGTAGCATAATTCTTAGAATTATTTGTTTTGTTTGAACCCCTTTTTTTAAAGAATAGATTTATATATATATTTAAAAATTTTGTGATTGAAAAATGAGTTGGGAGGAAAATAATTTTTTAGAGAACATGGGTCAAACAATGGCTTGTTATGGAAAATGTTTGAATAAACTAAGCTATGCTGATGATAAAGTTTCCATTATACAACGTCGACATGTTATTTGTTAAAAAGGGAGAAACATATTTGGAACTTAAAAATTGAATAATTTTTATTGATAAGTTTTTAGAATATTTATAGATGCCGTTACTACGTTGCAGACTTTTAATCACGTCAGGTCTCTGTTTAGCAATGATTAAGTTTTAAATTTAAATTTAAATTGACAATTAGTTTTAGTTAAATATTTTATGCGATTTACAACTTTTAAACCACACATTTCATCAATTTTTATCCAAAGTGAACAATACATAAATAAGGTGGTTACTATATACAATTTCATTTTTAATAAATTAGTTTTAAACATTCAAAAATCAAATATAAGTTGCAACTTATTTCACAATCACAAATTATTGAATTAATTGGTTACAACTTAACAAATAATAAGTCACGATTAAAAATTTAATACAATCTCACATTTTTTTAGATTACATATTATTTATTTGTCGCAAATTAATCAATTTATTGGTTACAGTCACTCAAATAATTGATTACAAACACTCTTTAGAACTATGCTTGGTGTACAAAAAATGGCTCACAAAATATTTACAAACTTCCACTTAGCAGTTTTCTCATTCAACCATAGTCAAAAACACAAAAAAAGGCACCATACAGGTGCTACTAGCACGGCACGTGTAAGGTGCCTGTACAAGGGGAATTATTTCACTCTTTATCCCATCCCAACTCGCCCACCCTACCATTAGCACCAATCGAGCACCACCTCACCTTACCACCACCGCAACACCACTATCACCAGTGCCCGCAACAACACCATTACCATCTCACCATCGCCACCACATACACCACAACTAATTCAGCCCCACCATCGTAAAAACCACCACCTTCCCACTAACAAACCTCCATTTCTACTACACCAAAACCATAACCCCTACCAAAAAAGTCCTTAACTTTGCCGTCGGCACCACTACCAGCGCTTATATCAACAATCAATACCACCACCTTTTTAAATTTACCATCTCTTTCCCACCTATACCACACTATAACTGTCAACATCACTCTAAACAAATAAAAAAAATAGAGGAGACGGCAAATAAAACAAATCGCACCAACACAAACAGAGAAGCATAGATGCGAATGAAAAAGAAAGCAACGACGCGTCAATGCAAGAAGCAACAACACCCCATAGCTGCAACCGCACAATGCAGAGGCACTCTTATTGCTGCAAGTGTCGCTAAGCATAGCACACAATGCTCATCGTCGATGAGCTATGGCCATTGTTAGAGATAGAAGAAGAAGAAGAAGAATGAGGAAATATTTAAGATTTGGTAGTGACATGGGGTGTATTGGGTATGTAGATTAATTTAATTTTATAATACTATTATTAATAATTAAAATTGAATTATCATCTAATTTTCGAATTGCAAAGTTAAAAAAACATGTGTGGGTGTAATTTTCACTTATCAAAATCTACTAAATATATCTAATTTTAGAGCAATGTTATAAGTACAGATTTTTCCTATAAATTTTGTACAGGAAGAGAATTGTCTTTCTATAATTGGTTGTTGTTAAAAACAGTTTTTTACAACAGTAAATCATAGGAAGACAGCTCTCTTCCTGTACCAATTCTATTAAAAAAATTTGTACTTGCAGTTTAATACCTAATTTTAATTCCCACCAAACATGGGTTACATTTGTATGACATAATTATCTAGATAACAATACAAGAGTCCTAATTGGATCAAATGTTGTCTCGATAAATATTAATTTGAAATTCAACTAATTCTACAAACACTGCTATCTTCTAGAAATAAA